TGTCCTGAATGTAAAGAATCACCCGTATTATGAGTGCAAGTGCAGACCTCCCTACCACGGTACCAACTGCAATTTATGTGAGTATCCCAAAGCCCATCTTTCACTAAATGTAATTTTAGTTTAGCTACATTGTTTAAGCTACATTAGGGTTGCTTTTGCGAACCATTACATTGTTTGTGTCTGTATCAGTGCCAAGTTCTGTCTGTGAACCCAATCCGTGCCAGAATGGAGGATCTTGCAGAAAAGGGAACCGCCGCTTACGCTGCTTCTGTCCCGATGGATATACTGGGAGGTTCTGTGAAATTGGTAAAGACTTTTAAAAGAAAAAATACTTTAAAAAAAAAAACATAACGTTATTACTATCTTTTACCACAACTTTGTCCTTTTCTATAGTTTGTGTTATACATTGTACTTTTTAAAGACTGTATTTGTGTTTTTGACACAAATATTCTTGTGTAATTGTATGTGAGAGTTGGAGCTTTCTTTACATTTTCTTACCACCCAATCTTCTTGTGTAGCTCCGACTGACTGTTATGAGGGAAATGGAGAGACATACAGGGGAGTCGTCAGCATGGCAGATGGGCAGGAGTGTCTGGACTGGCATTCCTATTTCATTGTTTCAAACCGGGAAGATCCTTTTACCATGTACTCAGACTTTACTGGACTGGAACAGAACAACCACTGCAGGTATAGTCAAATTAATCTACATAAAAAAAGAATGTGACATATATACTAATAGTTGTAGCATGTATATAAGTATAGCATCTGGGAAATAATTATTCTATTTACAGTAAGCAGAAAAATTGGACATTGTCAGTTAATATATAATGTTAGTTCTAAATCCAAAACTTTCTAATTCATCACCCATAGCTTTAGATTATATGTTTTTTATTTCAGAATATAAAACTCCATGTAAACTTGTCATGTAATACATTTTAAATGTATCATCAATACTTCAATACTGTTCATTCTCTTCACATGTACTTTTTTTGTAAAAGGATGTAAACAAATTAAATTAACAGTATCTATTTGTATACATTAATGATTATGTATTCTATGTTAAAGGAACCCAGATGGGGATGACAAGCCTTGGTGTTTTACTAAAAAGGATAGTAAACTGCAGTGGGCTTACTGCAATGTCAAGATGTGCTCTGGTGGAGGTAATTTCTCTCTCTCTCTCTCTCTCTCTCTCTCTCTCTCCTCCTCTCTCTCTCTCTCTCTCTCTCTCTCTCTCTCTCTCTCTCTCTGCTCTCTCTACTCTCTCACAAACACACACACACACACACACACACACACACACACACACACACACACACACACACACACACACACACACACACAAACAGCATATACAGTATGTCTTGTCTTCCTGCACCGTGCTCACTCTTCTCTGATGTCCCTCACTCTCAGACACTGCTCCACCCACACCACTAAAACCAGTTCCAGGCTCTGCCCAGTTCTCTCAGTGTGGGAAATCCCCACCTGATTCCAGGATCAGAATTCATGGGGGTATAAAGACAAGCCCGGGCGCCCACCCCTGGCAGGTGTCGGTGCAGATAAAACCCAAAGGCTCCAACTTTCAGTTTGGTCACTATTGTGGTGGGAGCCTCCTCTCTTCCTGCTGGGTGCTCACTGCTGCACACTGCATGTGGGTTTGGCATTTCATTTGTTTGCTATTTCCAATGTCTTCTACAAGCCTACTTATATATTGATTTTTTTTTTCAGTAAATCTCATTTAGATTACCAAGTGGTGATGGGAGGAGTGAACATATCAAAACAGGAGGGAATGGACCAGACCATCCCAGTTATACAAACCATTGTTCATGAGAACTACAGGTCCACTCCCGAAGCTGAATACAACGACATTGGTTTGTAACACATATCAAATATAGTATTTTTTCTAATGTGCATATTTTAATGTATATACTTATTTCCTGTGTAGCTCTGCTGAAGCTCCAAGTTACGGACAGCCCTTACTGTGCAAAGGAAACCCTCTTTGTGAAGGCGGTGTGTTTACCGGACCAGGCCTTCCCAGCTGGAAAGGAGTGTGTGATCTCTGGATGGGGAGCCACTGAAACCAGTAATAAACTCTTTATAAGAAGTCCTTTAATGTTAGATAAACAGATTATTTGGTACAATTACACTTCAGTATCGCATATCCATAAGGTTAAGGGACTTGCAAGAACACAATGGTCAAAACTGATTCAAAAGAGGCCAAGATACTTCTTGTTGAACTGTTGTGACCTTTGCTGGTAATGGCTGCTGCGCCAACACTTCTAGTCTTTAGTCTCTAGTTTGGGATACACTTTAAGACAAATGAATCCTACATTTTCCATAATGCAACAGGATAACAAAAATGATTAGACCCTTTTTTAGTTATAGGCTGAAACTAACACAGCTAAATCATTTTTATTCCACTTTTACTACTGTGACATGTCTTCATTGAGAAAAGGTACTTTAGTTCTGTGTCTGTTTGTTTCTCGCTGTCATACAAATTCCCTTTAATCTCCCCTTTTAGAGAAGATAAGCAGCCAGCTGTTGACCGCTCGTGTTCTCCTGATCTCAGATGAGAAATGCAAAAATCTTGATGACTACAGAAATGTATTGGACAGCAGCATGTTCTGTGCAGGCACTCTGCAGGGCGGCATCGACTCCTGTCAGGTGTGTATGTTTATAAATGTGAAGTATCAAGGTGTTGTAGGGAGGCGTGTGGTGCAGTGGGTTGTGCGTTGGTGTTGTGCGTTGGTGTTTGGATCAGGGGGTCACAGGTTCAAACCCCACTGCAGTCAGCATGTCGTTGTGTCCCTGGGCAAGACACTTCACCCCAAATTGCTCCTGTGGGGATTGCTCACGGTATTGAGTATGTAAGTCGCTTTGGATAGAAGCGTCTAACAAGTGACATGTAATGTAATGTAATGTAATGTGTCAATGCATGCAAGGTGCTCATGAAAGAGATAGCTACCTACAAAGCTATAGGTATTACATTTAAAATTTCTTAAAAAGGAGCGACAAATCATCCATACTTGAAGGTAACATAATTAGATATACCTTTATTGGCATCAGTCATATTAAACTTGTGTCGGATGCATGGATCCTTTCCTCTGTGGCCTTCTTCAGAAAATATTCTCAATTTGCTGTTTTTACCTCTACAGGGCGACTCAGGCGGACCCTTGGTGTGTGAGAAAAATGGCACACAGTACATCAGCGGTGTGGTGAGCTGGGGAGTGGGCTGTGCCGAGAAAAACAAGCCTGGTGTCTACGCCAGCGTCCACGCATTTACCGACTGGATCAAAAACAACATGAAATGATGACTATAACAGTTCAATAAATATTGTGGTGATTGCCGTTGGCTCTAATAGATGTGTTATTTTTGGAAGAAAACAGACTAATTTTGCCTTGAAAAAAAAGGTTTATTTGATCAGTGATAAAACCAAGCATTTACTCCCAGCCCAGCTTTGAGTTAAAATGGGCATTGATACAAACTCATGAAGCTGAACCTGCCAGACAAAATGTAGATCACACATCATTCCAGTAGGCCTTAACGTCTTTATCACTGAGGCTCGCTCAAAGTGCACTAGATGAGCAGACGGCGTAAGAAAACTGAATGTTTTCCACGGCTGCCACAAGGTTTGTGCCTTGCTTATATTAACTTGTTGTCCATATCTATGATAAATGAAAAAACCACATGCATTGACCATCCTTTAAACTAACTTGACAAGTCCTTTCCTTATTCCACATGCTTATTCCTTTCTTCATCATCTTTACTTCATTTTGCAGTTCTTGTTGCACCTACAGTTCTCCGTTTGATTTGGTGTGGGGTCTCATGTAACTACATCAAATTTCATCCAAGCAGATCTGGAACTAGAACTTGTTTTAGGAACCTTTTCACCCCTTTTTAGTCCCTGCTAGGCGCAGTAGGGATTCTCCTCGGGAGAAAAAGGTTCTAGCTGTCAGAGCAGAAGAACCGGTATGTGCGCTCACAGAGCATGCGCCCCTTAAGCCCCTACCCCCGATTTCCCACTCTCGGCTCAGTAGAATGAATGGAGAGAGAAAATAAATCTAGATTTGGCTTTTAGTGCATTTTACAACTTTAAGGACTTAATGATTCTGATAAGGGCTACACAATAGTTCATACTGGGTAGTTTATTTAGTTAAAAAAAAATCCGCTGATTTACAGACGTCTCTTTCCCAATGTTAGTCAATGGGAAAAAGTTGTTTTGGACCGGGTGACGTCATGGACTGATACGGAAGTTGCAGTACCGCCGTTTGGACACAACGAATGTTGGGCACAGAGGAGCACTTCCTGGGGGCTTGGGCAGTATACGCCGTGAAGTTGTTTGCGGCCTGCCAGTAAACCCAAAGCAGAAGAAGTGACGTCAGCGGCTTCATTTCGCTTCATTTGCCTAATCCTCCCTCAGGGACTTATTCCGGTGTGAACGCGATCTGCTCTTTAGTTCTGGGAACTAAAGAGTTCAGATGAACTGAGTAATGGGAACTAAGTACGGCAATGTACTTGGTGTGAAAGCGCCTCAGGAAGTCGTTTTAAAGGTCCCCTATTATACTGCTTTTCATCAATATATTATAGGTGTCAGATATATGCAAGACTAGACATGTCTCTGAAGTGTTTGGCTCTAAATACTAAACAGATCATTGCAGCATCCCATAAACCCCTCTGTTTCAGCCCTGTTTCAAAAGTGCTGATTCTCTGTCTGTTACTTTAGATGAAAATAAGGAGCGACTCCCCACGCCACTCTGAGAGATATTTGTTTAAAAAGAATACAATGGTGCTCTAGGAGGAGATTCAGGTGATACAGTATGTGTGAGTGTGGGGGGGGGGGGGTGGATGACCTTGGTTGGTTATTGGCTAATGGTTACACAAACCAACACATCGTTATGACATAAAGTGGCCAAAATCTGATCAGCTCATTTTCAGACAGGTTTATATATAAATGGATCAGGACAAAAAGAGAGCAAATATTTTTTCCTGAAACTTTCAGAATCTCTTAACGCAGAGGGGACACATGTTTATGTATAAAAGACATGAAAAAGGGGATTTTGCATAAAGGGTGACCTTTAAATGTAGATTTGTGCAGGGACACATTAACCTGACCTTACTTTAACGTTTTGTTGTGTTTGTGTCCAGTAAACCCGGGGTTGAAATGCAGGTGGTCCTGGGAGGAGTGGATTTAGAAAAGGATGAAGTATACGATCAGGTCATTCCTGTGGAGAACGCCATCGTGCATGAGCTTCACAGGGAGAGCCCCTTTGCTCTACATAATGATATTGGTGAGATGCAAAAACATATTTACTTTATGTTGATTGTCACTCATTTGGAAATTAAATAACTGGTATATATTTATAGATCTTTAATTTGTGCCTTGTCTGTGCAGCCATGCTTCAGCTGAAAGTCACAGACAAACCGCACTGTGCCAAAGAAACGCGCTTTGTAAAGACAGCCTGCCTGCCACAATGTCCCTTTGACAACGGCACGGAGTGTGTGATCTCAGGGTGGGGCGTGACTGAAACACGTAAGTATCACCGGCACTGTGAACTACACACTGCAGAACACTACATCATCATTTAAGATTGTCAGGGGTTGGACATGTTGTTTTGTATTTAGTCAAAAGGAATTTAAGTACATTTGATATGAAATAAAGCATCTGATCTATGCAGATAAAGTAGTTTTGTGAGCTTGAAACAAACAAAAAAAAAGAACATCCCAACAGCCAGTTAAAAGTTAAATGTTTGGAACTTTGGCAGCTCATGGATATTCATCCAATTCACCTAGTATATCACGCATTTAGATCGGAAAACAAGGTAACGTATTTCTACTTGGTCATTTTAAAGTGTGTCATGCCAAGTATTATTGAATTGACTGACATATAACTTCAAAATCACACATGGATCACAAGAATTCTTTTTTCTCATTTGCCTCTCAGTGCTTCCATAGATACCCAAATATAGCACTTAATGATAATAAAAACGGTGGCAAACAATAAGTAGCAATATCTGTGGAAAATCTAATGATAAATAAAGTACATAGTACGCTCACAAGATTTAGATAAAAATAAATTCAAGTTATTTCTGTCTCGATCCAGACACTTTAAGAATTGACATTGAATTTTGAAGTTTAATTGTATGTATATACTCTGTTTATTTCAGAGAAGTACGGTACCAACTTGCTGCTGGATGCTCGTGTGCTCCTGATCTCACAGGAGAAATGTAAAGCTCCCCATGTTTACGGAAACTCTCTGGATGACAGCATGTTATGTGCAGGAAACATGAGAGGAGGAGATGACTCCTGCCAGCTCAGTGACATATGTGGTTAAATAACATACAGTATATATTCTTAAAACTGTATTCTTGTTTCCCATTATAATTGTATTACATATTTACTAAGTCATACAAACAGAAACACAACAATAAAGTACAAGGACAATATCACAGGAAAAACCAATAGAAGGTTGGCGGAGGGATTACAGTGTATTTAAGTGTTTCTATTCAACTCATAAAGTAACCCTAGGAACACGTGCATGCAGATGGTCTTTCATCTGCACTAGGTTTTCTGATTTTCTTGGTTGATTTTCTTGTTCTTACTCCTTACATACATCTCGTAGTTTAAACCCAAATTGTATATTATGGGTCCAATAGTGTCCTAATTTAAAGGGCAGCAGATGGGATGAATTACATTACATTACATTGCATTTAGCTGACGTTTTTATTCAAAGCGACTTACAATAAGTGCGTTCGACCAATAAAATACAAACTTGAAGAAAACAAAATCATATAAGTACATCAGGTTTCATAGAGCAAAAACATTTCAAGTGCTACTTGTTAGGGATTAATTTTGTCTTTACTTAAGATATTTGACCTTTCGGCCTGTTGACATTTACGACGAAGCCTAAGTCTGTTATCTGTCTTAAGGAATGGGAAGTCTCAGCTATTGCTGACATTATCAGTTGTATGACCGGTCAACTCTCGGTCACAGAGCCATAGAGTCAGATAAGTGATTCAGTGTCTCCAAGTGTTCACGGATACCTTCCCCCAATATGCTGATTAGCTCTCGGTAAACTAGTTAAAGGGTCTACCAAGATGCGAGGCTGATCAGATTTGACATGGTAACCCACCCGTGCAGTCAGAACCTTTGACTGTGTGGCTTGTGATGTGAATTTCTCCGGCCGATGCTTGTATTAAATCTCAGTGTTTGACATCAGAACTCCTGCTCGTCCCGTGTCTCCTTCATGAGTCGGTGACTCCCACTGCATTGCTACACAGAAGTTTCCTCCACACTACTCAACTGGCTTTAGATAAGCCAGTCCTTTGTTAGTAAGTGCTTTGTTAGTAATTCTATCGCTCGAATTGGAGTCGAAAGAGATGAGTTTTCAGTCTGCGCCGGAAGGTGTGTAAGTTTTCTGCTGTCCTGATGTCAATGGGGAGCTCATTCCACCATTTTGGAGCCAGGATAGCAAACCCACGTGTTTTTGCTGATGGGAACTTGGGTCCCCCTCGCAGTGAGGGTGCAGCGAGCTGTTTGGCTGATGCAGAGCGGAGTGCACGTGCTGGGGTGTACGGTTTAACCATGTCCTGGATGTAGGAAGGGTTAGATCCATTCGCAGCATGGTACGCAAGTACCATTGTCTTGAAGTGGATTCTAGCAGTTACTGGAAGCCAGTGAAGGGAGCGGAGGAGCGGCGTGGTGTGTGAGAATTTAGGAAGGTTGAAGACCAGACGAGCCGATGCATTCTGGATGAGCTGCAGAGGTCGGATGGCACATGCAGGTAGACCAGCTAGTAGGGAGTTGCAGTAGTCTAGGCGTGAGATGACAAGAGTCTGGACTAGAACCTGCGTCGCATTCTGGGTCAGCTGGGGACGTATCCTCCTGATGTTGTAAAGCGTGTATCTGCAGCAGCGGGTTGTAGCAGCGATATTTGCAGTGAAGGACAGTTTGTTATCTAGGATCACACCCAGATTCCTTGCAGTCTGAGTCGGGGAAACAACAGAGGTGCCGATGTTGATTGTTAGGTCAAGAGTGGGACAATCTTTTCCCGGAAGGAAAAGCAGTTCAGTCTTGTCAAGGTTGAGCTTGAGGTGGTGAGCAGACATCGACTGAGAGATGTCAGCTAGACAAGCAGAGATGCGTGCGACGACCTGGGTCTCTGAGCGGGGTAAGGACAGAATTAATTGGGTGTCGTCAGCGTAGCAGTGGAATTGAGTCCAGTCGACTATTTTCATTTCCTCGCTCCTCGGTCTCACCAGAAGTGGATTTGTCTGCGTCATCTTGAGTACCGTCCAGGGGCCTCATTTATAACGCCGTGCGTAGGATTCACGTGGGAAAGTTGCTTACGTAGTAGAAATCCAAAAAATAGGTACAGAAATGTTCCGACATTTTCCGAGTCACCAAACATTGCGTACCGGCGAGGAAAGTGCGTACGGCACTTCCTACGCTGGTTTCCCTTTATAAATCACATTCGACTTCGAAATGCGGTGCAGCTTTTGCGGGCTTCACGTAACGCCCATATTTGCCTATAAATAGTCAAAGAAACGCCCATTCATTCATTCATTCTGACTGATTTTATGAAGAAGATAGCAGGAAATGACGACAGAACAGCTAAAAAAGACATCTCACACCGTGTCAGATTTTGGTTATTTTGGGGAGGTCAAGATAAATCATATTGTTTGGTGGATGCAGTTTGAACCAGAGTAGCAGCATGGAGGTCGGATCGTCACCAAAATAAATAAATAAGTGGTCCGAAAAAGGTTAATGACAAAAAAAATACACATAGCATTCCTCAGGCAGTGTATTTGTACCGGGGACAGGAGACACCCCCTTGATGAGAAACTGTAAGAAATGATCGGGGAATCCCTCCGGAGTGGGATTATGGAATTACGTTTTTGTATTTTGTGGTTTGTGTCCCAGCTGTCGATCAGCTGTGCGCAGCGTCTCCACTGCAGCCTGTGCGTCTCCCCCCCCCCCCCCCCCGCAGCAACTCTATATCCACCAGTTAAAGGAAATACAACTAATGTGTGGTGTTATATTAGCTGTACAATGTATGTACCACATATGGTGTTCTTAGTTTTCATACCTCCTGTGTTTTATGAGCGGCTTATCAAGTCGTGGCAAACGGCATAACACACGATTAAACATGATAGTATATAAAACCATGCTCGTATCTACAACCTATAGAAAAGCAACACGGCGTCAGTTTAGACGTAATTCTGTCCTCCTGCTTACCGCATCATTTATGAGAAAACATTTCATAACATTAACACCAGTGCTGGAATTGGGCCGGTACTCACCGGTACGCAGTACCGGCACTTCTGGTTCTGACCCATGGAGTACCGGCACTTCTTGCTCAGTACCGGCATGCTGGCGGTACTTCGGTACTCATGCACCGTGCCAGTACTCAACACTCTCCCGCCGTTCTTATTATACATCCATATATATATATATACAGCCGCCCGGTACTCAGTAGATGCGTCATGAGGTGCCGAACGGACATTCTCATCGCTCTAACCGCTGGAGTTTCACAGCGGCTGTCAGCTGTTTACTCCTGTCATTCAAACAGAACGTGCTGGAGAGGGGGCGGGGCTTATCTTCTCCATGTAAATACTGTGGTGGAAACGACTATGTCAAAATTAACCTATTTGACCGTGATTTAATAGTAATACACGTTTCAAAATAATAATAATAATAATAATAATAATAATGCCGAAGTAACAACATACTGAAAACTGTTAGTAAAACCATGTTTTAATGCTTTACAATTTACATACCTAGATGCACGTGTGTTGTGTTTATGCAGTGCAACTCCCACCCAGTGGGTGGCTATGTAGAGTGATAGAACAGAGCAGGCACGCCCCCGAGAGAAGGAAAGCAAGTCACGTCACAAATTAGCATTTCTAAAATGTTAGCGTGGATTAATAAAAGTGCAAAAAGACAGCGGTTGTCGCCGGAAGACACTTCAAATACAGAGAATGCTGTGCCTGTGTTGGAAATTGTGTCTGATGGGGAGCTTTCTTTGGTTGATCCTCCTGCTCCAAGTTCTAGTGCATTAGCATTAGCACTAGCTCCGCCGCCTCCTCCAGAGGCTCTAAAGTTAGCTGCTGCTGGCTCAACTGCCACCACCAACACCGGGCAAAGCGATGCACCTGACTGCTGGACAACGGACCAGGTGCAATATTTTTGCAAGACCAATGCATGGCTCCTTCTTAAAGATAAGAAGCTAGGATGTCGGATATGCAGAGATGTCAAATCTTTGGGAATACACACTGGACAAGGACTGAAACTGTCAACTGAATGGGGTGAGTGTGCAGTGTCTCATTTCGGTGTTGACAAGGGCAAACAACAAGCTAGCCTGAGAAAAAAAATCAAAGAAGGCAAGGCAAGGCAAGGCAAGGCAAGGCAAGTTTATTTATATAGCACTTTCCAACACAAGGCAATTCAAAGTGCTTTACAAAAAATGAAAGAGATTAAGAAAATGGCATTTAAAATCAGTCATTAAAAAGAAAAGCTAATAAAATAAACGTTAAAAGAAAAAATACATGGATAAAAGTTACAGTGCAATTAAACATTAAAAGAAAAATTACATGGATAAAAGTTACAGTGCAGTCTAAGATATGAATAGTTCAATTAAAAGCAGCGACAAAAAGAAAAGTCTTCAGCCTGGATTTAAAAGTAGTAAGAGTTGCAGCGGACCTGCAGGTTTCTGGGAGTTTGTTCCAGATATTTGGAGCATAATAACTGAACGCTGCTTTACCATGTTTAGTTCTGACTCTGGGGACAGAAAGCTGACCAGTCCCTGAAGACCTGAGAGATCTGGATGGTTCATAATTTAGCAGGAGGTCAGAAATGTATTTTGGGCCTAAACCATTCAGTGCTTTATAAACCAGCAGCAGTATTTTTGAAATCTATTCTTTGACACACAGGAAGCCAGTGTAAAGACTTCAGAACTGGAGTGATGTGATCCACTTTCTTAGTGTTAGTGAGGACTCGAGCAGCAGCGTTCTGAATTAGCTGCAGCTTCCTAATAGATTTTTTAGTGAGACCTGTGAAGACACCATTGCAGTAGTCGAGTCTACTGAAGATAAAAGCATGGACAAGTTTTTCCAAATCCTGCTGTGACATTAGTCTTTTAATCCTAGATATATTCTTTAGGTGATAGTAGGCTGATTTAGTAACTGTTTTAATGTGACTGTTGAAACTCAGGTCAGAGTCCATGACTACACCTAGATTTCTGGCTTTATCTGTTGTTTTGAACATTGCACACTGAAGCTCAGCGCTAACTTTTATACGTTCTGCCTTGGCTCCAAAAACCATTACCTCAGTTTTATCTTTGTTTAATTGGAGAAAGTTCTGACACATCCAGTCATTGATTTGTTCAATGCACTTACTCAGTGTTTGAATTGGAGCATAGTCTCCTGGTGAAATTGTTACGTAAATTTGTGTGTCATCTGCATAGCTATGGTAACTTATTTTGTTGTTCTTCATTATCTGAGCCAGTGGTAGCATGTAGATGTTAAAGAGAAGAGGCCCCAAGATGGAGCCTTGAGGAACCCCACATGTCATATTTGTCAACTCAGATGTGTATTTACCTATAGAAACAAAGTTGTTTCTGTCCTTTAAGTAGGATTCAAACCAATTCAGAACTGTTTCCGAAAGTCCCACCCAGTTCTCCAGTCGGTCTAGTAATATGCTGTGGTCAACAGTGTCAAACGCAGCACTGAGATCTAATAATACTAACACTGAAGTTCTGCCACTGTCTGTGTTTAAGTGGATGTCATTAAAGACCTTTACAAGAGCAGTCTCAGTGCTGTGGTTTGGACGAAAGCCTGACTGGAACACATCAAAACAGTTATTTAAATGCAAGAAATTACTCAACTGTTGAAAAACAACTTTTTCAATGATTTTACCTAGAAATGGGAGGTTTGATATGGGCCTGTAATTGTTCATTATTGAAGCATCTAGATTATTCTTTTTTAAGAGCGGTTTAATGACTGCAGTTTTCAGGGCCTGTGGAAAAATACCTGAGTGAAGAGATTTGTTTACTATATGAAGTAGATCTGAGGCCATGCAAGGCAAAACATCTTTGAAAAATCCTGTTGGAATAATATCAAGGCAGCAAGAGGAGGATTTCAGAAGTTGAATAATGTCCTCTAGGTTTTTATCATTAATCTGATGGAATTGTGTCATGATGTCTGAATTGATGTTAAGTGGAGATAGGGACAACACATTTG